TGTAATTGAAATCGTTTCTTAAATACCTCATTATATAGAATTCGTACTAGCTTTTCATTTCAGTTTGTTATCTGATGGCGGCACATAGATCTAAGGTATTTAAATAATCGTTACATATATGGAAAATCGCTATTGTATGGTGTTTTTTGAAGGTCTGTGTGTATATGATGTTCTATATCAACGGAGTGATTCACGAGTTTGTGAAAATATTTTTTCAATGTGTCTTCAAAACTTGTGTCCGTTGCGCCTTATAAAGGCTTGTTACACGAATTTGCTTGAATCTAGAAAAGTATGTGTATAATATAATTAAGCTCTTAAATACGGAGAGATTCTTATTGAAACTGAACTTTTTGGTGGTTTTGGTAATAACAAGCTTATGAGGGGAGGGCGAAACTGTCGGGTGGGGCGCTTTTTGTGTGTGTTCAGATGGGTAGCATGATAATTGCACATACTTCAGTCTAGGTGTAAATTATCCAAATGTCTGAAGCGCAAGCAGAGTTGAAATGCTCGGAAAAGCTGCAGCCACCTCTGTCTCCCGTGCGTGGTACTTGGCAGATGCATAGTATGTGAAATGATCTGGAGAGAGGAGGAAAGACGGAAGGTGAAGGAAAAGATCCCGCGCGGGGCGGTACCGTATTTGCTCCGAATTCGCCTGGTGTTGATCGAAAGAAATCAGGAAAAAACCGACCAGAGCAGCCGGCCACCACAATTCTCCTCCAGACAGCAACTGATTAGATCGAATTTTGACAAACTAGTTCGAAAATCTAACCTAGGACTCCGGTCAGAGGCGCACTGCTCAGCGACCATCTAATGGTGCGCCTGAGCCACCTACGCCCAGGTTGATTCTTTGCCTGGCGCGACGCGAGGCGACGCGAGGCGACGGCGAGCGACGTAGGCACGCGAGGCGAAGCGAGGCGCGGCGCCGGAGCGGCCATGGTGGGCGCGGGCGCGGCCGCGGGCGCGAGGGCTGGGCGTCCGCCTCCGCGGGAGATGAATGGGTTCATTATGCAGTGCCCCGACGCCACCCGCCGGGTGGGGCGGCAGCGCGGGCGCGCGCCGACTCCTGATGGTCTCATCTCGGCCTTTATGGAGGGAGCGGCCGTCACATGGCCCGCGCGCCGGCGGCGGCGGCGGGTGGCGGCGGCGGCGGCGGCGCGGCGGGCGGCGGCGGCAGCCTGCGGCGCGGCGCCGCCCGCCCGCCGTCGCGACGCCTGCACCACTGCCTTCAAGTCCCGACGCAAGGCACCTCAAACGCTGCAGACGTTCTCACCGCCATTTTGTTTGTTGACTGAAAGAAACTTTGTTTGGAAGGATGGGTTTAAAATGGAGGGGTTGCTCGGTGAAATGACGTAGGAAAAAGCTGTGCAAGAAAGTACAAATTCCTAACATATTGGGATGTATTGGGATGTATGTTATGCATTTATATTTTCGTTATTATAAATATCAATCTGGTAGTATCCCAAGGAAAATCCAGAGAATTTTTAAATTAAATATGATAATAATTAGAAGGTATAATAATAATAATAATAATAATAATAATAATTATTATTATTATTATTATTATTATTATTTGCGTATCGGGCATTTCCGGCCATGCTACACGTTCTCTTCTGAGCTCAGTCATATTCTACAGTATTCTGGAGAGAGATGAACGTGTGTCGTTTTGGGGATCATTTTTTCGGCTGTATCCCATGGTAAGACAAGGTTGTTAAGCCTTGAATTAAGAATTCTGAGGTGATAGGATGATGAGACATGGTCAGTATAATATAAATAAATATTTTTAATATTATTATTATTATTATTATTATTATTATTATTATTATTGTGAGTGTTTTTCTTTTTAGATTCCGTTTCACAAGAAAATTGTTAAAATACCGATACTTATCTTCTTTTTTGCCCGTAAAGGGGTTCTTGAAGAAATTAGTCTACTATCAATCCTTGACGAAAGCAAATGATGTAAAAATATCAATGAGATGGTAAAATAACATAAATATTTTAATTGGCTTTTATCATAAAATGTATATGACTCCCGCAATTTATTTACAGACTCTGGGAATAAGCAATATTATCACTTATCAGCTTGTATCCAAAATAAGATAGTGTATTCTTGTGATATTCAAACACTGAATGTTCTTAGCTGCTGACTTTGAAAAATGAACAACGGTGAACATTTATCCGCATATTTAGTTACGTCTCTGATTGTTTTTCATCCTGTTTTACATTCAACACCCGATGACTTGAAAGGTGCCTTACTTCTACAATTGTGATACTCAGTGTTATTTATTTTTCTGTTATTAGTCTCGTATTTCATAATCATAAGGAGGCTACTCCATCTAAGTGTGCCATTCCAGTACTGCATATTTAGAGAGGCACAGCTTTCGAGGCTTCATAACTATAAGGTCTTTAAATACGAGTAAGTTTCTACTTATTTTAAACAATGCATTATTCTCAAGGTTTACCTTATTCCTTATGTGTCGGGTTTTATTCGTATCTAAGAATAATTATTCCTATTTTATGAGGTCAAGGAGATGATGTTCAATGCCAATTCTACCACTTTAATGGTTTTTTTTAAATTGTAAAATGAAACAATAAAACTTTTATCAGGGAAAAATGTCCCATTAGCCTTGGAGCTTACAATAGAATTACCCACAATTCTATTTTTGGACTTCGTTGAGGGACATTCTTATCATCTTAACTTTCAAATCCCTTTGTATTCCCTAAACGTTTCCTGGTAGCTATTTTTTTTATCATTTCATCGGAATAATACGACTTTGTGCCTACCTGCAAAGCACCTTTGAACGAAACCCTTCGCAGCCTGAATGAAAATATAACTTCAATGGCATCCTCAAAAGAATGAAAGAAACACTGAACCGGACGTTAATTATGCTAGTGCTTGAGGAGGGACAAAACGAACCCTACAGAGCCCCCCGGACCTCGTTAAACTCAACAATGGCCTGATAAAAACAAGGTACTTAGTTATAATCGGGCTTCGCCTTTCCTGTTTCAGAATTTGCTAGCGTGCATGCCCTTCGTGGAATATAATGTGGAAGGGGAAAACGCGTCATTCTGTAGAAGTTGGCCTTAAGGATGAACGGAAGTTACGTGGAGGCCAGCAACTCCCATGATTCCCCACTTCCTCTGCCTCCCCTCCCATCGACCAAGCGCGCACGTGAGCTATTCATTCTCCGTGTGTTCCTGCCCATCTCCAGACAAGTGACACGCCACTTCCGCACAATCAGAGCACGAGTACGGCGGAGGGGGACGTGCGTCACAAGTGAGGCCACGCCGCCTTTAAAGATGGCCGCCGCTGTCGCTTTTCGTCCACTCTGAGCTCGCAGAAGACACTCAAGCCAACTTAGAACGCATTTTTTAACTACGAATTATGAATAAATCAGTAGATAATCCCACTTTAAGCAAAAGGAAAGTATGTTTGATATAGAAATAAACATAAACATTGGATTTAAAAGTTTCTTGTTAAATAAACTTTTTCTTTACTTTCTCGGAAATGACAACAGAGTCATTGGATTTCAAATTTTTGTGAAAAAATACGAATCATGAAGATCGAATATTATTGATAATATTAACATTTCACTGTACATTTTAAAACGTATTGAATATGCTGCTTTCAGATCTCTAATGAAATGTTGTGGCCTCAGGAACCGGTGATCACTCTGTCGATTCATTTGGAATTTATGGTGGACAGAGCCCTTTTCATATTTTTCACCATTGCTCCATCATTTTTGATAATATTATATAATTACTTCATAATAATCAATCCATGAAAATCAAAAGATGGCTACTTCTGTTTTATAAAATATTGGAAAAAGTATTTTTTTAAATTAGCATAGGACCCATTCTTAATAGTATGCGCAGTTATTACATTACACTTTTAAGCCTTATTAACGAGCAGAACTCTCGCATCATTGCAGCAGGACGTACTATTGAAGCATGGAGCTGACTTGTTTTTGCTCGAAGCTTGTGATTGTATTGCTTTTGGAAAGAAAATGACAAACGAATTACATTTTTTAGAAGGGAAACGTTCTTCAATTTTTTTATTTGCTCTCCCAATAATTTCGTCAAAAGGACTGGTTTCAACAGTTACGGACAAGAATGTAACTTCAGATAATAGATCGCTGTTGCCCATTAACATTATTATAATTTACACACATCAAAAATTCGGCCAAATACAATTTTTGTGTTCCAAAGACACTTGTTTTATTTGGGCATTTATATTTTATAATTTTTATCATCCTAGCTAAAAGTTCTATACGCTTTGTATTAAGCTTCATTTCAAAAGAAAAAAATTATCCATAATGTTAGGTTCTGTACTGTAAATCGTTCTACATTAAATAACATTAGTTTTGATCTATTTTAAATATTCCCTTTATATTAAGACGTTTTATGCCATTAGCTTTTCATCCTAATAATTTCCTGCAAATAATAATCACGGATTTGGCAATTTCAGATATGTGTCAAATACACTGGATTCAAGCAAATTGATAATAAACCAAATTCTACCCTTGATAATCTCAAAGAGATGCTTACAGACTCGTAACAAGAGAAAGGTAGTAGGTCCTAGATATGATCTCACTTTTTTTTAGTATCGTTCGTTTAGTATCGGTTGTAAAGTATAAGCAATAAATATTAATATCTAAATATTATTACAATAAACCTTATCTACCGTCTTTTGTATTATTTGCCGTCTTTTGTTGCAATCGATTAATCAGTCGTCGTTTACGACGAGTAAGCGTGTAAATGTGAGGCTATAGTTACTTAAACGAACATATCGAGGATTTTAAAGTGCGGAGATTATTTTTCTAGTCTTCTTCTGAGCCAGTTACGATCACATTTTCCGGGCTTCCACATGGTTTAATTTTTGTTTAATTAACATTTGTTAATATTTGTAAAAATAATCATTTACCAATGAATTATTTAGTATATTTCACTAAATAATTACTCTTCAGCATTTCCAATAAATAATGATTTCCCTTGTTTTTCAGCAACAGAGTTAAGGCGCAGTTCCCGAGCCCATCTGTGCCGAGTGGCCGGCCCGCCTGCCGGCCGCGGTCGTGCTCCGGGTTTCACATCCCGGAGGCGCGCGGCGGCCGTGAGGCGTGGTGAGGCGAGGTAAGGCGAGGTGAGTAGAGTGGAGCGTCGGCTGGCGCGCGCGTGGCTGTCAGGCGGCGCGCCTCATTAGGGGCGTCGGGGCCGCCCCCGCATCCATCAACGGCCTAAGCAGCGCGCTCGCCGCGGCCGCGGCCGCGCGTTGCGCCTAAGTGAATCTCGCGTGCCGCCCCGCCCCGTTCGCTCGCTCGCTCGCGCGCGCGCGCGCCACCCCCCGGGCGCCGACGCACAATGGGCCGATTGGCGGCGAAAGCATGCGAAGTGTACTTTTCTTCATTACCAAATCACGTTTCATCAGAAAAAAAAGTAGATTGATTCATTGTGTTTCCGGGATTTAACGGCTAGTGCAATTCGTGTAATGCATGTTATATTGCACGATGTGATAGTGCCCCCCTCCGCTGCTGGAACGTGAGATCTGTCACTTCCCGTCAGCATCTAGGATTTTTCTTTTCCAATTTCCCCCTGCAGTCCTCCCGCTCCAAGTCTTCAACTGATCCGTCGATATGTGTGGTAGTGTAGTGCATGCAAGTGGATTCGGTCTATTTGTCAAGGTACTGTTGAATATCAGTCACCGTTGGAACTCCAAACCTAGGGCTTCCCGGTCAGAGACGATGCAGTGACAACAGCTATTGCTCTAAGCCACCTCAACTATTAGAAAAAATAGCATATTCGAAACTAGTAAATTCGGAAGGTATACATATTCGTTTTTTTTTTATTCTTATAAAATGAAAACCACTACTTTTAAAACCCAGGGCTTCAAATGAATCCGTTTTCTTCTAACACCAAGTCTTACGATATGGTACTACTTGCATTATTCAAATTATTACACAAATGTTAGCTATTCACATTCCTTATGGTACAAATATTTTTACATTGAAACCTATATTCATTAACAATATAAAAATATGAATGTTTTGCGTTACTTTAATTGTCATTATATATATATATATATATATATATATGAAAACTTTGTTTCCTAAATCCTTCATTTTGTTCCTCTTTTTTTCAAGTAGTTCAGCATTTTAAGCAGGATTGTAATATTCTCTCAAACTAAGTTTATTCGGACATCGAAGAAACGTCTAAGGATGAATTGTCTGGAAATAATATTTTAATGACGAATATAAAAGATTTGATTACTATCTATTGTGGTTATTAAAATGTTGACTTTTTAATAGAAAACAGTATCAGCTGCTGCCGATTAGGTTTTAGCAGCTTTATTTGGGCGTATCTTAAATATTCTAATTATTCTATACTTAAAACTATTTACATGGGTCTCTTTGCGCCAAATTTCGTTTGGACCTGGGCGCAACTTTTACTAAAGTGCTCAAAAATTCCTCCCTTTCTCCCACCCGCTGCGTCTCTTCCGGTCCATCTGTGCCGGCGCGCCCGGGCCGCGCGCGAAAGCCTTGCGCCGCCATTAGCTGCAGGTGCCCGCCGCCTGACGAGAGCTGTCAAGATTCGCGCCGCGCCGCGCCGCGCCGCGCCGCCCTCGCGTTCTGTTACGCCGCAGTCGCCCCGCGGTGGCCCCTCCGGCTCAAGTGCTAGTGCAAAAAACGCCTCTTGGAAGGTCGACTCTTCTTCGGAAGTTCCGCTTCGGGTAGGATCAGAATTGGCGTATAGAATGGTAAGAGTTCACGCTGTATGACTTCCTTTGTGATTGTCAATGAAATTCGTTACCAGCCGCGTCGGTTTCTGTTGTTCTTTGTGTGTTTTGGTAATGAAAGGATTCGGGGGCTCTATTCTGGGGAATGCCGGAAGTTTCTCGAATTTTTTGAGCTCTTTAGTTCACTTAAATTACGCTTTGCAACAGATTCTACAAGCATCATATAACATACATCCGTGTTAAATCGTACATCATGCATGTCAATGCACAGTTTATAACAATTCCTAGACACATAGTCATATTTCCAAAAGAAATATAGGAAATACTTATTAAGCGACTAAAAACTTTGTCTCAGGATTATTCGTATTGCTTTCGGATAATTTAGGAGAACATGCATATAGTTCAACTACTTATCATTAAGAAGTCAGAAGCAAATTACAAAAGAAATTTCTTTACTTCACCTTGCTCTACGAGACTAACTAGTCTCCAGCAAATTTGAAGTAGTTCTAAAATTGCTTAAGGCTCTAAGAGAAATTCTTAGATCTCTGTCATTATTCACTACCTCCCAATTTACGATTTCGAACAGAACGCACTATTTAAATTTCGACATTTTTGTTTACCTTTACTTTCTGATTGCTCTTATTCTTATTCTTGTTTTTTTTTGCGGTTGCTCTCCTAAGAATTCAAAATTATGAAAATAATGTTACGCCGAACGTTTAGAATAACGCTTTTTTTGCGAATAATCATTCCATTGCCCACTGTTTGCTCGCGGCTTGCTGTCCGGTACTGTTACACCCGCCCCCACGCCCCACACATTAACACGCGGTTCCTGCGCTCACTGTAGCCGAACTGAAGATGCCATTAAGGAGAAGGCTAGAGAGGAAAAGATTTGATGTTTTCCTCGCACTAAAAATCGGCGATGGGACTGAAGCAGGACGAAAAGACAGAGGGTTACAGTTTTCAAATGTCACTCAGTAAATAAGCGATGTTCCACTTAGAAATCATCTCTAGTAGCAGTTCGCTAACCCGCTATCACGGATTACTACATTAACAAGAAGTGAGTATCTTACCTAACCCGTATAATAAAGATATTAAGAGAGTTGTAAATTGTTTGATGAATTGTCTTGTACAATTTATGTGTGTCACCTTTTCTGTACCAAAAAAATAGAACAAATAGGTGTTTAGAAATTATTACGCATTATTATTAGTAATAGTAGAACTGAAACATTTGCGTTCCTTGCACACGGTTTAAAGGCAGATGTGTTGTATTATTTTGCCTATGTGTAAAGTGCTCAAGATAACAAATCACCCAAAGAATATCTTGTTCTTTAAAGCGTCACCAAGTTCTTTATATTTTTAAAATTCTGTTTCGTAAAAGAACGGTAGAAGTTCGCTTTAATTAGAATAGGTTTCCACACTGCATCAGTGACTTCAACAAAGTCGCTATACTTTGAGACCCCAAATAATCCTTCAACTTCAGATTCAAAACATTCAAGTTGACATTTGGTATCGTAGGCTTTCACGGTCGGAGTGCACCGCAGACGTGGACGAAACGTTTGGCCCAACAATGCCAACTGGACCACGGCCTACCAGCGCAGAAAATCTACTTTCTATTCAAGTTGACAGTTATGCAACATGAAAATCATATGTTCAGTAATAAAAATGTAAGAGATAGTTCATTCGCTGGAGATGAGGTACATCATATCAATGACGTATGGAATAAAATTATGTTAAAAAAAGTGTGTAACCCAAGTATTACAATGCAATGTAACAGGAAGAATTAAAAGAATATCCGGGAAAGCTTTCCTTGCTTTTGTAAATGTTTTCTATAAATAAAGCAATGTAATAATGAGGGCTTAAATAGCTTCTTGATGTGAAAGCACGTATCTGAAATCCCCTTCCACATTATTCATTTATAAGCATTAAAAATTGATTTTTGCTTAGTCGCTGCAATCGCATTTCTCGAATGAAAATAGAATCTGGATTGGTGGTTAAATAATCAACGACTTTTGAATTTAGAATATTCCTTTTGATACGAGGAATATGTTCCATTTGCGTTTATCTTTCAGATAAAATGAGTCGTAAATGAACATTTCTAGGACGTAATTATTTGGAATCTCTTACTAAGCCTCCAACAAAAAATTATGTTGCAAATTCACGCCGTTTTAGTTAGGATCGAATTCACGTTCCACGACTTACGTAATTATGTCGTGAATCTGTAAGTGTAACATATACGTCAGAGTTTAGACTGTTTGTAACATTCCATATACTTCATATATTTGTGCACGAAAAAATTGAACTGAAATAGAATCGTTTATTCAGCAAGTTGGTAAAAATCACATTTTGTATTTTTAATTTGTCCTATTTTAAAGATCATAAACACTGATATAAAAAGTCTCTTCTTGCTCCTCCACTAAACCAAAAGTTGTAAAACAAACGGAGTTTCGAGGGCACTTCCGTACACTCGCTGAGCACACGATTTCCATGCGCGCTAACTCCTGTTAAAAAGCCGCTAGCACAAAGATCGGCCAACTTGATCTGCATTGAGAGAGCGCCCTTAGCGGTTCGCTGCGAGAGCACAACGAATGGCTGCCCTCGCATTAAAACGAAATCCTTCACATTGTGCTGCTTGGCGGATGGAGCGTTGCGGCGAGTGACGTCACGCGGCCCCGATGGCGGCGCGCAGCCACGTGACGGGAGCTAGACAGTCTGGGTGGAGCTCGCGCGATTATACACAACTTCCGGTTGCCGCAGCGACATAAGACAATCGTGGCGAAATGACAGGCTGCCGTTGTGTGCCAGTATACAAAAGGAATTGTGAAAGAAAATGATGTTTTGTTGCTAGACTCGTCATGCATCACATCGTTCATTTGGGAGCCATATGTCGAGTGGTACGATGTGTCGGAAGAATTGAACACGGAAGTTTCTTGTATATTCATACTTTTTCTTTGAGAATGTGAATTCGTAAAACAGGAATTTAACCTTAACGCTCAGTAATATGAAAGAAAAAAGAAAATCGCTGTTGTTAATGTAGAATAGCTTAACTTCTTTCCCTCAAGCAATTAGGTTAGATTTGAACCGTTTGCTATTTACTTTGAACCGAAGATTTCCTTAAAGCATTTTTTTAAGTTAGGAGGGTAAGTTGGGGCTATTATGACACAGAAAAGCAAACTTTTCACCTTATCTTCTAAACCATTCGTAACGAACACATGAAAAAATACTGAGTATATGCGTTTTGGTGCTGAAGACGTGTACAAAAACGCAAACTTACTAACTAAAAAAGAAGACCGCAACTCTGTATAAAAATCAAAAGTGTGTATAAAATTAGCCTCACTAGATGGGGCTATATTTTCTACTATTTGCTATTTTTGGATACCAATAAGAAACAAGTTTT